CCGGGGTCGAGATTGCCATCTCTCCCACGCGTCCAGATCGCAAACTCCTGGGCATATACAGTAGCGTCGATTCACTACCTATACAGTTTTCCTTGCTCGTTCCGATGTCCCCAAGTTCTTCTCTATTTACGTATGGCCTAATGACTGTACAGTTGTTAGCGATTCCCTAACTTATACACTCGCTTGGTCCTATAACAGCCGCGAATAAGATCGGCCACATGGTTGCACTAACAGCCAATTCCTGAAGTATAGCGTTGTCTGCGTTTGACCCAGGGCGTTCATTTAGTTGCTGATCCTCAATGACGAGGCCTGTGTGATTCGATTAGGCTCAATGGTCTTATTTATGGCCACGAGCACAATTACTCGTTGTAAAGAGACTGACCGATAGAGTACAGGTAAAGTAACGATATGATTTGTGGTGATGACCTAATCGGCCACCCGATCATTGATCGTTGAAGACTTCCTGGAACCTGGGGCCATTCTCCTTTCGTCTTTTGGCTCTCGACAGGCATTTTTAGATAGATTCCTAGATCTAGCTGTATCGGTTAGCTCATACCTTAACCAGCCTGCCGAAGAATGCGCAAACGTTGGACCTTCGCCTTCCAAGGATCATGTTGTGATGAGTGTATAACCGCCAAAACTAGAGGTGAGATATGGTCTGAATCTGGGGTATTAGGCTAAATAGATAAAGTGTACTGGATCTTGTCTAATTAGTTGCTCGTGCGAATGGCTGGTTCTTGTGTGTTTTCGACTTCCCATACATACATAAAACTGTTATCTAGAACCTAAGTTACATAACACGTTCCATATGCGTATCTTTACTACAATACCCTGCAATAAGACCTGGATAGGTAGCTCTGTAAGTGCCTGCTATGTAAATACTAGACGAAAAGTCCGCTAGTCATTAACATGGAGCATGTAATCCCTGATTAGACCCAAAGTAAATTCTTATAGATTGTATCGTTATACCAACCCATCTAGAATATCCACATCTATGTATACTACGTCTCATACCTTTCTAGACGTGATGGATGTAGTATGTTCGTAGCCCTCAACGATAGAGCATTTTCATTAATCTACTTGTTACTATAGTTGCCTACCACTCGGCCTACTTCAACTACTTTGGTTGCGAACAACTGTCTTTTCAAAGTAGTCTAAGGGCAGTAATATCCAAAGCTGTGATACTGCTCGAACCCGTTACCATTAAAGTAGCAATTAGCGTTATCGGTAGGAATAGCAAGACGGCTACCGTCGTTTGGCGACTGGTTGTAGCCGGTGTAGAGCGTGATGTGGCATCCTGGGGAAGTCTGCAATATTTGAATAGCTCCACGGGGTCCTTTAAATGTCATTAGAAACATGTGATCTTCTCATAGAGTCCCAAGGTCCTACTTACCCGGAAAGTTGCCCTTTACGGTTGCAGGGTTAAGATCGTAATTTTCCTCAAACCCTTGGCAATTGATGTGGTCGAATGCGTTGAAGCGAACTCGGCCGTTTGCAGCTACAAGGGGCAGGAGAGGGAGAACGGCGTAGAAGAACTGCATGATGCTTTTTGGTGTTGGTTTGGGGCCTAGCTGCTTTGCGTTGTGTGATTGCGGAAGGGGCAGAAGAGGATCGAAGGAATGTGTTCAGCCCGATGCTGAGGATTGAGATGGAAGAGGGATGAGGCTTTATGTCTACCTGATTTCTGTGCCCAAGCGGATAATACCATCATCATCGTTCTATCCAGGCCATTGTAGCATGCATTAGCACAACGACGTCGTTTAGCAATGACCGTATTTGTACAAGCGGGATGTCGGAAGTATCGGAGTTGTTAAAAAAACCGATATTAGGTCTCACATTGTGGTCCCAGAAGACTATCAGGCTACCTGTGGGATACACGTGAGCCTCTGTTGCTACTAGGGTTTGCTGTGCACCCATTCGTATAATTGGCGAAGTGCAAGTCCCATGCCGGACTTCGGTTAAGGTACAATATTATCGAGCATTAGTACCTTGTTACTGCATCGAAATCTGGCCTGAGGGCCTTGACTCTTGTGCAACACAACCATTGTGCTGGACAGTGCTTTGACTAATTTTTCAGAGTCGCCAAAGCCGTCCGTTTTGCATTATATAATGTATCGACGATGATCATCCAAGAAGACAAGCTCTCTCCGGAGCTGGCTCTCCTTAATGGTTGGTCTGCGTGACTGGCTTCGACGGCTTTGACTACCTTTTTGCTACGTGATTCCCTTGAGTAAACGTGATCCTGCAGGTCATGAGGATAATTGGCCGAAAACTCTGCTTTTGTTCGGTGGCTGAGTTTGCGCTACTAGCAGGATTACTCATTGTGGTAATTAGTCTTACGACATCAATATTGTACACTAATCACACACAGGCCTGAAAGGTCAAGTATGCCATCCGCACCCCTTCCCCTTGTCTCTGTATTCTGCAGGGCGCACCTAATAATGGGAAAAAGGTCATGCTGGAATATGGTTCGTGGGTAAGCAAGGCGATGCTTTGTTACAAAGTCGGTGTCAAGTCCTTGCTAGTTTAGTTGATCGCACGTTGGGGGCCTCGTTTTTGCACGCTTCTCACGGGCGAATTGAAAACTACTATAGATCTGCAGTAGTCTCAAAACGAGCCTCAACGCGCGCGATTAATAAGCTGCGTGCACCCGCAACTACTAAGCGCACTCCACCTAGGTTGACGCCAATTTAGTGTCGCAGATCTATAGTATCCTGAAGCCAAGATCATTGTACAGATTTGGTCTTCCTTCTGCAACTATACGAAGCCTTGATAGGTTCTTGATACGACACTTTAGATATGTCAGTAGTGTTCACTACCGCGACGATTTGTATGAACGCTATATGTGGGTTCTTGGCAGAGAAAGGTTGCAAAGATATTGTGAAAGCATACAGGTTGTCACTATACAAGCAAGCGACGCGGTTAATCTATGGTACGTCGGATGCTGAACCACAAGGTAGCTGAAGTCCAGTCGTTGCCAATTGAAGGCGGCTTATAGGTCACACTACAAGGGACACGGAGATATGTATGTTGAACGCTACTGCAATGCCTATTGCAGAATATGTGTCGGGCCTCTGAATAGTAGGCTACTGACATGCTTTAGCATCTAATCCCCTATCAACAGTATTTGATGCGAGTTCTACGGCGCAACCCAGACGATTTCTCCCCAAATTCGCTTTTCCATGCAGCACAAAAGGACAATATTCCGAGCTTCTATTGCGACTATACAGCAACCTCATAAGATGACATCTCATGTTTCATGAAAAAGAGTAGGAAACCCATCACTCGGCTGCATCACCAACCCCTCTCGACCGGCTTATTGCCTATGAATTCTCCTCTTGGATGATTGTTTTCGCCAGGTTGGTAGTTTGTCACACGTTCGTCTCCATACCCTTGTCTTTGTACGCCGCTATTTATGTTCAGCTGGTTCTTTTGCGCAGCGCCGAGCGCACCCGGAGGGGATATTTCTCTACCATCGAGCTCCCAGGCATTGGCGGACGTCGGCATCTCGGTGCTTTGCGGTATTTTAGAATCTGGGTAATAGCGAGAGTGCAGTGTTGTGTTACCTGCGGAAGAGGGATGCTTGGGCAAGGTTCCATCAGCAAGCGTTGATGGAGGATACGTCCAGGGTGCTTGGTCTCGCGGGATGATAGAAGAGACCGGGGGAATTGGGGAGCGTAATGCAGGCTCTAGCGATGCCAAGGCAGTGGGCGTGTCCGCCGGCAGTGCCGTAGGAGTAGGTGTTACCGAAGACGTGTTAATGTGGGGTACATAACCATTGGAAGACAATGATGATATCGTGGGACTGGCTTCTTTGTCTGTGAATGGCGATGAGGTTTGATACTTGTTTTTCCTGCGATGCCGTAGGAGGAGCAGGATGAAGATTCCACCCAGGGCAAGGGCTGCGATAGCTCCTACTGCCACACCAGCGATGAGACCTGCCGAGAGCCCTGAGTCTGGATTTGATGGGGATGGTGGTAGAGAAATGGTAGAAGACGAAGAAGCCGGTCCTTCCGAGGAGGATGCCGAGGCTGCTCTTCTATTTGATGAAGAAGTAGAAGTTCCTGTCTGTGCCATTGTCGTGGATCTGTATTCCTCTCCGACTGTCCTTGTTGCCGTGATCCTGGCTGCAATACTTGTCGGATCAACGGGTGTCGGCAAGGCATTCATCGCTCCGCCAGCTACACTTTCAATCACTGCCGTAAGAACTATCACGCCCTTGCTTGACAGAATTAACGACACATCACCCACAATACTCGACAAAAAATCGCCTATCTGCCGTTTTCGCCGTGCGTGCTCCTTTTGGACCTCATCCACTGTTACGCTTCCTGCCGCACGACAAGTGTTGCGGGCATTTTCCTCCATGATGGCACGATCCGTATAGACCCATGGCCCCGAGGCGTAATTTTCGTAGCACGAGATGCGCCAGAGGTATTGACTGCACAGACAGGCGTAGTCTGGTGTAGGTGTGGTACGACAAGGGAAGTTGCTTTTGACTGCTGACAGACAGGAAGTTATTGCACTACGACGTATCGTGACCAAATTCAGTGCTACTGCTTCATCTTCCCTCGTCCTTCTGTTTCGGCTCCCTTCACGTGCAGTTGTACTAGAAGTAAGGGAAGCAATAATCGGAGGATATAGTTTACACTTGTTCATATTTTATTTGCTGCTGCTGCGGCGGCGGCGGCGGCGACTGAAAGAAAGCCGGCCATGGCAGCGCGGGTAGTAGAGTCAAGGCAACACGAAGCATTGCTCATGGCTTCAATTGAGGAAGATGTCGCTGTCCAAGGAGAAGGAAGCACCAGGACCCATCTAGATGGCTGAACAGCATTGGTCCAGTAAGACAGCTTAGCTCCATTTTGGGTCAGAAGAAAAAGAGCGAGGCAGCTGCGGAGCCCCGATGTTGTTTGTGACGGGAAACTTGCTCGCCCGCTAGGCCGGGTGAATGATGTAGTAGGCGTGTAGGAGATGCATGTGTGGCTTGTCATGTGGCTGTGCACGACAGGGGTCGTGGCATATCTAACTGACAGGAGGGCAGAGCCGCGCGCAAAGTGACACACAATCGACGACAGAACACAGTAAGTTGGTGCGCTAACGGGCCGTCCTCACCATGTTCCCCTCAAATGTACAGGCATACATGCTGTACCATCCTGGCGCTGTCCATGAATTTTGCTGATGCAAGCGATCCGTCAAGTAGGCACGATAGACATGAGCCATTATGTCAGTGAAGCGGTTGCATCGCCTTGCGAGAATATACTCGAGTGCATAGGCTCAATTGTGTACACGGATGACAAGATAAAACTCTGTTAATAACTACATAGGGGTATGTTGGAAAGCAATCAATCTCGACTTTGTCAACAACGACGTTTCCGCTTACGGAAATTTGGGGTATTATCGCACAGTTTTTAGAACATATTGTGGACAGGCTGTCCTCCATAGATCTCAGCGAGTTGACCACGCGAAGCCTACTTCCCATTCGCACCATCGCCATGCCCTTCAAGTCGGTTCACAAGCCTCTTCACGCCGCTCCACTCCTCGCTCCTCGTCTGTACACCACCCAAGTCGTCGCCAACTTCGAATACCGTGACAACACCATCCATACCACCAACCGCCACCTTCCTGCCCTCATTCCTCTCCCATGCTAGCTTATTCAGACTTCTGTTCATGTATCCCAAGCCCGTAGGCATATTCGTGAACGCGCCTCTCTTGCCATCACTGGGCTTGACAGACTGTACAGGCACTTCAACGTCAACGTTGATGTCCCACACTTCTAGGCTGCCTGCTCCATCCACAAGAGCAAATACAGAGGGCTTGACAGGCGACCATCGCGCATCGTACACAAGATCCTCACGCGCAATGTCTAGCACTGGCGTAACTTGTTGTGCGGCGCCGGGCAGAGTCACATTGGTTGCGCCCGTGGCGGCTGGAGGCCGCACTTTCCATAGCTTGACGCTCCAATCGACACTGGATGACAGGACAAGATCGCCAAGATCAATCTGGCCCTTTGCCGGATGAAAGTCCATGCTCATTACAGGCGCAGCGTGACCAGCGTATTTGACACGCCCATCCACACCCGCCTTTGCACCTGCACGATCGTAGCGATGGCACGGATAGATGGAGCCTTCTTCTGTGCCAGCAAGGAAATATGTTGGGTCCGATTGGGGGAAAGCGATGCTAGTCACCGCCATGTCGTCCGTCTTTGCTGGGGGCGGTGACGTAAGTTCAAGGAATTCTTGTGGTTGCGAAAGCATGTCAACTGTCCAGCCACATACAACGCCATCCGTCGAACACGAGATGATGTTGTTGGCATTCTGTGTACCGACAATGTCTAGTGAGTAAACGGGATGTGTATGACCAGATCCTGTAAGGGGTGTCTTTTGCACAGGTGCAGACTTGGCCCGAGTGTCCCATAACAGCACTTGGCCAGAGTAGGCGCCGCCAACAATGAGGTTCGGATGGAATGGAGAGAACTTAGCGGTAAGAATGTCGGACTGGGCGTGGAAGATGTATTCGGGGCGATCGTGCATGTGCAGGTTCCACACTTGGACAAGACCATCCGGGTCGTGTGGAGCAGATGGGTTCTTTGTGTACGAGGCGAGGACGAGTTCAGGAAACTTTCAATTTTGTTGTCAGTAGTGATTTTGTGTAGCAAAACGGTATTGCTCACCTTTGTGGAGAAGCCCAGATCGGAAATCATTCGCTTCTTGCTCCACCGCTCGTCCCAGAACTGCGCAACCTCCCTTATCCGCCGACCCTTCTTTCCTCCGCTCGAGCCGTAGCCCTCATCTGAGTCGTCGACATCTACACCTGCATGCGCATAGTCGGCGAGAATGTCATAGCCTAGTTGTTGGTCGAGAGCCCGCTCCAGCACCTTTGTACTTCGCTCTACAAAGCCGATGAATTCCTCCGAGTTCTCGACGGCTGTAAGTTCCTCATTTGTGAGCGTCTTGAAGGGAAAGTTCTCGTCTGATCCCGGTTGTGGCGCGCCTTCTTGGGGTGGTTGTTGAACTGCCTTGATCTCTTCCTCAATTTCCTTGCGCAGCTGGGCTCGAATCTCCTCCTCGCGCTCTTTTTGTCTTCTGCTCAGCCTCTTGCTCTTGGGTGATCGTGTAGGACTATCGTCGCGCTCGCTGTCGCTGCCGCCCGCGCGGCGTTCTTTCGAGGGGCTCCATTCTATGCTTGCCTGCACTCCCTTGCTGTAGGTGATGATCTCCTTTTCTTTCTTGACCTCGTTTGTGACTTGGCCGTCGATTTCGTACACGGTAGCCAGTGGACCAATCGAAAGAGTCTGCATCTCTCGGTCGATCATGCCAGCAGATGGCGGGAAGCCGGCGGAGCCTTCATCGCTGCTGAGCTGGCCTGCGCTGACGACTGATGTCGGTCGGGTCGCCCGCCCTGGGCCGGCGGGCGAGCCAGGTCCAGTTGATCCAGGCCTGCTCTCGCCGAGAATGCTATTGATGAGGTTGTTCACGTCGGTTCTCCGATCTAGATCTTCGCTTCGCCTTGGTGTTGGTGAGAGGACTTCCCCCAGCGGACTGCCCGTTGTCGACTGCCGGCTCGCCGACTCTGCCTTTCTCAGTTCGCGCTGGCGCTTCAGTTCGGCGAGCTTTGCCTTTTTCGCGAGGATTTCATCCCTCCGTTGTTGCATTGTCGACTCCATGGCGGAGGTGTGGAGGGAACCAGTGTGTATGTGTGGTATGTGTTTGTATATCTGGATGTTTGTTGCCGTGTCACTAGTTATGTAACCCCATGCGTGTGAACGGCCGTCTGGTGGATGCTATCTTTCTCTTCGTCCTTGCGCCCAGTGACCGCAGTAGCAAAAAAAATCAAACAGCGTGGCGTGTGGTTGTTGTGTGGCTACGTAGTCGCGCCAAGCGGAGTGTTCAGTGGTGAGTGTTCAGGGACGGGGGGGAGGGACGCACTAGCTCGCAGCGAGGGCGGCCGTCCCGACCAAATCTTGCGCCAGGTCCAACCTCAACTTTGACAGCTCTGCAACGCCCAACAACCCGCATCCGCCCCGACGCCCCTCGTCTTGCCGCCCCGGATCCCATCCCCCCGGCGTCTATACCACCGTCTCGCCCGGAATATCTGCCATTGGACATAGACGACCAAGAACAACGGTTATCGCAAGCCCTCTCACACGCCCCCAAAAACCGTCACCATGTCCACATCCGTCGGTGTCAACGTACGCTCAGCCCCCTCCACCCCGCCAAAGAACACCCCCAAAATATACAGAGCAATGTGTTTTCATGGAGTCTTGCAACATCACCAGATGTATTGACAATGACGGCTAATGGATTGCAATCACAGGTCCTCCGGTGGTCCGCACTCGGCCTGGGTGTCTTTTATGGCGCCTACCACCAGCTTTCGCTCTCTGCTGCCGACCGGGCAAAGGCCGCACAAAAGGAGTGGGACCACAAGCAGGCGTTGATCAGACAAGCAAAGGAGCAATGGGCACGAGACCACCCTTCAGAACAGCCAAAATCATCGGGAGGTGCGTCATTTTGCCGTCAATTTCTCAGCTAAAACTTGCCATGGCACCACCACAACCCATCTCTTGCTGACTGATGAAAACAGCCAAGGCCGATCCAAAAGACCCCAATGCCGATCTACACGCCCTCCTCGGCATAACCGACAAATAAGCCTAGTCAGAGAAGGGCTTCACGTTTCCTACCCTAGCATGGACATAATGCGGCTGTCCCCTTTTTTTGCCAAGCCCAGAGGACGACTGGGAGCGGGAGGGGGAGAGAGACAGAGAGGATAACTTAGTCAATAGTCGTACGACATCTACGAGATACCAAATCTCCCGGTACTTTTGTGCCCTTTTTGTACAACATAGACGTCGGGTTGATCACGTTTTCAAATACACATGCTTCAAGTTTTGAATGATGGCGCCTCGTTGGCTCGCTTTATTTCATCTTGTTCTCCTTTTCTTTCTCTTCTTATATCAGTGTTGCACTCGGTCAACCCAATCAACAGCCCCGCCCCATTGATAGTCAACAGACACAAATCGCAGCATAACAATAGATGAGTATGCATACCACAGACCGCCTACAATGACGCATGTTCATTGACCCCAGTCATGTCTCTTAATATCAGAAAGCTTTGTATTCTATACATGTCTCATCTCGTCTCATCTCGTCTCATCACCAGGCCCCCCTCTCCAAACCACCCATGGGCGTAATTCGTAACAAAAAGCCAAAACCAGAGCCCACGAGAGAAGTTGCCATGCAATTCTCGAGACGTATCCAATCCAAAAAGAAAAAATAACAAGACAAAACAAAAGCAGTGGAGTGGGTTCCCAAACAGAAGAGTGAGTATCAAATGCCAAAAGCGCAAAAAGAGAGAGACAAGTGGACCGCAACAACATGAACACTGCGCAGC